TTCAGTAAAGGCAGAAACTTAAATGGATAGGATTGAAATAAAAAAGAACGAGTTCAAGGCCAAGGACAGTATAATACATATAGCACAACTCAGAAAGTTTCTTTCCTCAGTTTCTCTACAATGAGGAAGAAATTTATCATTCTAAGTGCCAAGATATAAGCCAGAACCCTTATCCACACAATACTTTTTAATCTTTATGTCTGATCTACAGAGTCACAGTACATCATTCCCACTTTATTGGGCAGAAAATCACGGGGACAGAGAGGTCAAGTGACTTACTCAAGGTCACACAGCCAGGAAAGGAGAGAGAGAAATTTCAACCTCTTATGAAGTCCCATATGCTCTGCTCATGATACATCACTTTCTTAATGGAGACCCCTGCACAGAGAAGTGCCTTGTCACTGGCAATTGTAAGATGACTGCTGAGTAGAAATCTGCACTCCCGATGTTTCAACAAAAACTTAAGTGCCCAGGGAGAATCCAGCTCTTCTTTACTTACGTGTACATAAAGACAGATACGTACATAGAAATACATACATACACATGGAAATATATCTATTTCTATAGCAGAGATGTAATACAGTTCCTACATATTTCTCAGACAGATCGCTGTACTGAAGTTCAACTATCATGTGCAAATTTTAGGTGCATTATTTTCCCATATAATTGTGCATCCAAAAGGGAAGGCTGCCAGAGGACAATCAGGCCGGGTGATTCAGTGTCACAGTGACATAGCCTCTTCTGATACAGGTAGTTGTTTGTGTTTCCTAGAAATCATTGCCTCCGTTTGGGAGATTAAAAAGTAAACAGCATCCCTGGCAAGGAAATATTCTCTTTATGCTAGAATACACTGACAGAAAATTTCATAAATTTAGGGGATAAGAGGGGGCAATATAAAATTTTCATTTTATGGTTCCTCGGATCTTAATGATCCTGTTGGTAAGGCATTATCTTAAACACAAATGATTTTTTTTTTAAGAGCATGCCTTAATAAAGTAAAAGATCTAGTCAAATGAATCACATTAAAACTTCTGAACAGATTCCTGTGCTGAGGGAAAAAGCAATGTAGTCAGTTTTGGATTTTTATGCTTTCTTATCTGCTAATGGGCTAATGCTTTTCAGTCATATTTGATGCCTAACAATTTAAGAATCTAGTTTTATGTAAAAAGCAACATGAGTTATATAGTGTGTGCCTGGTCATGGACCAAATAATATTGCCACAGACCATTCTAAAATGAGGGAAAAACCATAAGAAGGTGGTAGGAGGGGAAGAAGGAGCAGGCAGGAACACCTTGGCTATCAGATATTCACTATTCAAAGCTGTGTCAAACAAATCACTAACACCTACCTGTGCTGGGGTCATTTTTGATAATTGTAGTTGATGTCTAGAAGTAGGGTTATGAATATAATTATCATGAAGCAGCAATTGGGCAATCACAACCTAATTAAGCCCACTGACTAGATTATCTTGTTTCCTCCTAATAATCACATAACGTTTAACACTTGCTAATTTCAGGACCTATGGGTGATGTTCATTCATTAACAAGCTACAACCACTGGTCAGAAAAAATAACGGGTGAGGTACTCTGACACACTGAGTCAACCATAGGATAGGATGACATAAATTTTAGGCTTAGCTGACATCTGTTTCTGAACACTTTCACTTTTCAGCCACCCCTCCAAATTACTAAGTAGAGGTACAGCCACGGGAGAAGATGGAATGACAAAGAGAACTTTCCCTCACAAGAGAAAGGGTGCAATTCTGTTTTCTTAAATGTATACTACTTTATGTGATCTACACAGTGTGCTTGTTTACGATGACCATGGAAACTATCTTTGAAAATGTGACTTTCTTCTCTTTTCAAGATAATGGACGATTCTTTTGCCAGGCACGCATACATAAACTATACATTTCCTTCCTTGGGACATGTCCCAAGGCTCCTTTAGTGCCTCTCACATTGAGTATGCTTTCAAATTCAATGTCCTACACGACCCACAAAGAATGTTGACCCAATTTACCTCAACTGTGCAAAACAGCTCTTTAAGATGGCCTAGGCAAGTTTCTCCTTTAAAAATTAAGAGAAAAAGTGAAGAAACAAGTTGAAGATTGGTCTTTGAGACAGACTAGGGTGAGGGATATTCTAGAAGGCCAGGCATTACTGAAGAGGGTCCTAGTGTATGGTACGTTTGCCTGAATACAGTCCCTAATTCCTGTAAGAATTAGAAGCTCTTCCCAAAGAATCACATGCTTTTACACTCTTCAGCTACATAGTTATTTTTGTCTGAGGCTTTTTCCCATTAAAGTTCTTAATCTAAGAAAACAGTGGGCAGTACTGGAGAAGTGGAAATGAGTAAAGTATGTCATATGCATGTATAAATATGCCCCCCAAATCCACTACTCTGTATAACTAACAGACACTAATAAAAGAAAGAGAAAACAGAATGGTTTTGGAGCCCATGGGTATAGTTTGGTGATAAAGTGCATACCTAACATAAGAAGCCCTAGGTTTGATTCCCAGCACCACAAAAACAGAAAAAAGAGAGAAGAGAAAAACTAAAGACAACTAAAGAAGAAAACATTGATAAGTTTTATAAAGGATGATATGAAAGATGAGTCTGTGGTCTCCTCTAGGGTATTATAAACAGGTCACACAGGGCTGAAGATGTGGCTCAGTGATAGAGCACTTACTTAGCATGTGTGAGTCCCTGAGTTCAATCCCAAAATAAAACAAAACAAAACTCAGGGTATACTTTTATGCTCCTACAAGAGTTTTGGCTATGGGTTTGGCTGGGGACCATAGATCAACTGAACAGACGCAGAGCACAGTGAAGTTTTAGAGCTGAAGTGTGCTTAGCGATTAAGGCCCAACTGCATGTCATACAGAAAAGCTACTGTCCTGGATATCGTTGAGGTATTCAGACCTGTTCTGTCTCCCTCAGTACAGTAGCTCATTACTTGATTAAGGGCATTTATGATCATCTGTGAACACCTGCTTCCTTACTGTACTTTAATGTTTCAGGGAAAAGCAGGTAAGACCAAACCATTCCTCATGTCTCCCTGATCTAAATAGAGCACATGGTGATCACTAGGGCAGGGAGTAATAGCACCCACACTTTTAAGAGCATCTGCTCCATGTTCTAGAAATGACCATTAGATGATAGAGCTAATTTTCAAAGGACTGTGCAGTTTTTCAAAAGGCTTTTCGGGCTTACAGTAAACAAAGTTAACATAGAACACTGTGACTTTTAAGAGGGACCCTAAGAAACATAAACGGAAGACACTTTTTCTACCTGGGGGAAAAAAAAGCCACAGCATCTTTCTGCCATAACAGGTAAGTGTTCTTTCTCAAAGTCCGTGTGTACAAGTACTTAACAAGCTTGATACAGTTTAAAAATATTTATTCTCTAAAGTGCCCCCCTACATGGTCTATTTTATTCCTCCCATCATCTCCTTTATAAGCCAGAACAAAAAGAAGATACTGTTCAGTTAAACACACTTTGTCAAGCTATTGCGCTAAGTTATAGCTCTCATACCAACCAATGTATTGTAATTAATTTTCCATTATGTGCAGATTTCCTGCCAGAACACCAAGGATATACTCCTGGCAACTGGAGGAGATAAAGCATGAGGAACACAAGCTATTAGCGTACTAAGTAATAACCAAGACCAAGCCTCACCAGTCAAGAACCAGACCTTTCATATGAATCTTGGCTCCCTACCTTGTAGTCCCATGACCTTAGGTAAATCACTTTACCTCCCGAACTCTTTGGTTTCCTCTACCATATTCTTTCCTCCTACCTAATTCTTGTTTTCCCATGAATAATAGTCCCTAGTTCATGTTAAATGTTAAACAAATGTTACTTAGAATTAATATTAGCTGTCAGTCAGTCCAAGAGGGAAAGCAGCAGTTTTTGAAACACTGTACGATACTACTATTGTACTCAAAATGGCAAAATTTCTTGATCAAGTGACCACATTTGTTCTCTTTTCCCTTTTAACCAACATTAGGACAGACAACACTGAATTCTGAGCAGAAAGGGGAGAAGTTTTGCAGCTGAACTCTGACCTTCAAATGAAAATGGTCTCCACACAGATCCTCCTCCCTGTTAACATTGTCAAATCCTAATTAACAGTCTTCAGGAAGGCTACTTAAGATTGAAAGTATCAAAGAGAAAAGCCTGGGTGGTAACTGCTTGTTATGTTGAAATCTTTACACGATGTTTTTTTTGCTTGTTTGTTTTTTTGTCTTTTTGAGACAAGGTTTCACAGGCTGGCCTTGAACTCACTTTGTAGCCCAGGCTGGCCGGGAACTAGCAGAGATCTTCCAGTCTCAGCCTCCCAAGTGCTGGGATTATAGGTGTGCACCACCATGCCCCACCTGTAACTGGTTTCTGTCTTTGGCCATCTTTAATCTGTAATCCAGTATGCAAATTTTACCCCAAAGATTTTACCCCTACATTAGGTCCTTTACAATCTGGGTAAAATGAACAGTGCTCAACTGCTGACTAACTTGTTCATAACACAGAGGGATGATGTAGTTAGGGATTAGAATGGCTAACCATTCTGCCTCACAGTAGCCTTCTTTTGGATTTTAAAATACTGGGAGTGGATTGAGAGACCCGTCTGTGACATTTGGGATCACAGGAATGGGTTAATCCCCAACTGGACACCAGGTAGTAGTCAGGATCCACTCTTTCCTCTCTGAAATAAGCATGTCTTTGTTCTTCTTTTCTTCTAATACCCCGAGTGCAGATAGAGAAGCTCTATGGATAACCTTAGAGAGGACTATCACATTTTCTTCCCATTAATAATGCAGCTATTTTCTACTGTGCTCTATTCTCTACTTCGTTCATTTTCCAGGAAAATCTCCACCTGGGCCTACTTAACCAATTCCCTCAAGTTTCCATCTGTCCTTTATCAGAAAAGGCTGCATTTGTAACACAGAAGTCACACAAATAGCCTCCCAAGCCCAATTCTATTTTTTACAATAGGAACTTACCAAAGAATGTGGATCTGAGCGCTGGTCTTCATATTTCACATGCAATAGGTACCAAATTACAAGGTCTTTTTCTACTTGCTGTATTGTTTTCTTAAGAGCAAGATCTTACTTCTTCCTGTAGGCTCTTCCCAGTGGACAGTCCTCTTCTATTTTGACTTGTCAATTATTCTCCTACCTCTTTTTCCTTTTCCCAACCCAGTGGACTCTCCTTCCCAGCAAATTTCCACTATATAATTACAGCAATGCTTTAGCCTACTTTTCTGTTAGCTTAACAACCCTGTCTATTTTCTACTTGTGCTGATGCTACTGTTTGCTTTTCTGACGGGCTAATCCATGTATCCTTTCAAGGCCTAACTTCCCCTACCATGATAGCAGCTGGAGCTCTAATTCACAGGTGCCTTCCAAAGCTTTTCATTAGCAACAGAAATGAGATGGTTTAGAAACCCATTTCTTAATCTGCAGGTGAGTATTGGAACCTTTGTGCAGCAAACATCTTTCAAGTATCCCACATTGTGCCACTGCACAATTATTTTCTGAGTAATAAGTACAATGTTATAGGCACATTTGTGGTGTTAACAGGGAGAATGTTCCCTCTGAGGAAATCAGCTTTCAGCCCCCTGGCCTCTAGCATCTCCCAGCTCAGCTCACAACAGAAGCCCTGAGCAGACATGAGCAAAACTGAAGAATAATGGCTTTACCTTCTTACATCTGAATAGAGAAGAGAAGAATTAGAATCCAAAATTCAAGGGCCTTCGCTTGTATTCTCGTTCAACTGGCCAAGCAACAGCTTAGGCAGTGAGTGTGGCCTTCCCCAGCTGGGCTTTGCGGCAGATAAGCCTCTCCACAAATCCTGGGCTTAATTACTTCTGATACAGTTGTCCTGCCTGGGCCTCCAGCTCCTTTTGTGCTTCAACCAATCTGAATCCAAAGGTAAGTCTCTGCTTATTCACCTTGGGCAAGTGCCTAATTTCCTACTAAGTGATCCTAAAACATTTAAATCAGGATCTATTGCTTCCTAGTGGTATTTTCCTCATCTTTCCTTGCACCAGGCATGTTAAAAGTCTACTTGAACACCTACAAATAACTTCTTCAGTTATACAATCCTCACCTTCAAATGTTTATTTAGCTTTTCAACACATGAGTACCTACCAATCCTCCCTTCACCCCAAAGGACGGGCTCTACTCCCTGAGTGAAGATGGGGGTTCAGATGGGAACAGGCACAGCGTAAGTATTTTATTAATATCCAGAAGCAGCATGCAGTGAACTAAACAAGCAAACACATGAAAGCAAGGAAATCAATACCAAAATACCCATGACCTGGCATGAAAAGAAATCTTCCCTCCAAGAATAACTCAAGGAGAAATGTCTCCAGCTAGGAATTAGAAAAGAATGCTTTGAAGCCATCAAGTAAGCTGCTCACCAGAAGCAAAAGACAATGCACCTGTAGGTGACAATACCAGCACCTTTTGCCACCACACCACTTTACCTCTCTGAGCCTGAGAAAAAACAACTCTGTGTTGAAGGCTCACACTTAACAACCTCTGATATCCTATGGATGCCTCAACGGATGAGGCGAGAGGGCCTTGAGGCCCTAGAGTTATCTTAGAAGATAACTTGTGTGATAGCACTGCCAAGCAGAAAATGTAAATCCAAATTACTTCCAATGGACTTCTCATTTATTATCTGTGCAGTTCTCCAGATACAAAGTTCAAGGAGAAAGCTTCCTAGGAAACTGCAAATACAATCTAAATGCATCAAAATCTACTTTCCTGTATTTGGAAATTTCTGCTAGGTCTTACAAATCCAGGAGACAGTTTAACTTCCAATTATCTTCTTTCCAGCACCCCCCCACCCCAAACTTTTTTCTTCTTCCTTCAGCACTGGCATGCAAACCATGCTGTTTTAACTTCTTTCCTGTTCTCCCAGTTCTTCTGGAACATTTTATTTTCGACAGTCAACTCATTTGGAGGAGTGCCACACTGAGGTTCAACTGTTTACAACGTTAACTGTGTTTCTGCCAGAAGTCCACATCCAGCACTACCTTCTCCAGCCTGCCTCCTGGATTAAGAATTTACACATTCGTTTGGAAGAAGCTTAGAAAATGTGGAAACTTCCAAACATCACTCTTCCTCCTTAGAAAATACTTTTGCTTATCCAAGAGAAGACAGAAGTGAAACCCATTTCACCCTTCCTACAGTACTCTCCTATCTTTCATGGTTAAATGTTGCTTGTGTTGTTAAATTATTTTAATTATGACTCTATGGACAGTAGGGAAAGTAGTAAGCCACTGGTTGATGAGAGAAAATTGGTCTCTAAGAAGAGACAAGAAGGGTACATTTCTGAATGACTACAGAACCCTTGAAAGTCACTATTAACTGTTTGAGACTGGATTTCACCCTCTCAGTCACTCATCAGTATTACAAAATGGCATGTCTGAAAGAAGCCAATTTAAATCTGTCCCGCATTGCAAAACAGATCCTCAGAGTCCAATTCTGGGCACTTTTGTAAGCTGCAATAGACCCAGACAAATTTCCAAAGAAGGGCATTTGAAAAGGACTTCTAAGCCCTGGATGGTAGAACAAGAGAGAATAGGAAGAATTAAGATAAATGCATAACTACAAACCCAATAGCTGAAGCTTGACTGAAAAACACATGAACAAAATCAGTCTCTGGATCTGACTAAAACACATCATGCCCAGCCCAGGAGCCCCCAAAATGTTAAATGCAATGAACAAAATCCATACTCCTGTCCCAGCAGTGTATGTAGGACAACAGTTTCTCAGAGAGCCCTGGGCCCTCAAGAGTACAGCTGTTGCACAATGTGTCCATCAAGTGCAACTGGGATGGTAGAAAGGGGACTGTGCTGCAGGCAGACCCGAGTTCTAGGCCTGGCTTTTTTACAGCTGAACTTTCTGCCCTTGTTCAAGTCACTTCGTGTCTTTGTGCCAGTTTCCTCTTCAGTAAAGTGAGGGTGCAGAGAGGGTATTTGAGGTATGTTATCTCTCTAAGTCATAAGAGAAAAAAAAATACCTCACTTCTCAATTGGAAGTTCTGCCTGGCAGTATTAAATACATTACGTTCCCCTCACTTATGCATGCACTTACAGTGTACATGTCTGTCAATTTTTAAATGACTTCCATGTTAATTTCTGCTTGGGAAATAATATTTTGTCTCTCATCCTAAAATCTCAGCCTATGCTCCCTGCTCCATAGAGTTCTTTTCATATTATTCTAAATGCCTCTTTTCTTTTCCTTTCTTCCTTTCTTATTTTTTTAAGCAACCTTCCCCAAACTAAGAGTTGTGCTATTAAAAGAGCTTAGAACTTCCCATTTCCTTGCTAGGGCTAAAATTAAACTGTCCATTCCTTAGGGCCCAACATAACATCTGCCAGATGTCTTGGCATATCACACAGGAGAGGAATTTTCTTCTAGCATTATCTACTCTCTTCTGTTTTCTCATAATCAATTAATAGGTCACCAACATTCAGCTAATGTTTCTCCCAAAGCCATCAACTTCCTAAGTATGTGAATCTCACAAGATACCCGCTTTCCTAAACGCACAAACAAGCTGATATATTTTTCAGCTCACTGGATTTTACTCATAGATCCTGGCAATCTTCTCTCCCTGCTTCTCTTTGAATTTCTGTAGTCTCCATATACCAAGCCATCCAGTTATAAAGTCAGATCCTTTGCAATCTGAATTCATTATTTATATATTTCTTAATCTATGACTGCAGCCTTTTGAAACACCATTGCTCTTCTCCAGTCATTAACTTGAAACTATGCCACACAGCTTTGTCAGTTTTCTACCCCATGACATGGTGAACTAGCAGTCTGAAAAAGGCACAACACAAAGAAGATAAGTAAGGTTACCGCAACCAAGAAATCTCAGCATCAAGGAATAATTCAGGGCAGACTAGACCCTATTAAACTCTGTCAGCTGGGGATGTAGTTCAGCGGCATAAGCACTTGCCTGGCAAGCCTGAGGTCATGAGTTCGATTCCCAGTACAAAGAAAAAATAAATAAATAAATAAACTCCATCATACATAAAACAGGACTTTCCTCAGGCAACTTTACCATTCTGTTCCTTCAAGAAAACTGACCACAAGTACTTTAAAGCCCATTAGTAGAGTTGGCATTTTTTTTCCCTTCTCTCTTTCAGAAGCCTCATTCAGAACAGACATGGATTTTTATTTTGGTTTATTTTCCCCTCTAAAAGTTGTCTCCAACTGGGGTAGGAGTGGGGGGGCGGTGTCAGGTGGGTAAGTCCTCAGGGAATACAGTTAATAAATCGGACTGATACAAAAGCAAGAGGAGAAATATTATGGAATATGAAGATCCAACAAGAATCCCTTGTATGGCAGTGTCCATCATAGCTTACATATATTTCTTCATACAGATTTGTCTTTGTGATACACTAGCAGTATGGTAAAAACTTTGCATAATGAACCCGATGAACATGATGTCTTAAAAACAAAAAGGATCCTTTGACAGCCAATGAGAATGTTCGATCTGACACTCTTATTTCTCTCATGGTGACATAGCCAAAATACTTGTCTCACTTCAAGTGTGTATGTTCTAGAAAGAACTCAAGAAACCATGCCTTTAAGTAGTATGGTGCTCGCCACACTGACGAAGTGCAAGAGCCATGGCTGCGTCTCTGCAGTTATCGCTTAGAACAAATTCTCCAAAAGGCCTCCTAGCAACCTCATTTTTTCCCTCCAAAAGAGTTCATCTCTAAAACCACCTACGAAGATGCTAAAGTTTCTGGTTGTAATACGAAAAACACATTAAGTCAAATCAATGGACAGGAGATCAGTTTGTCACTTTTGCCCCCACTGAAATAAGTAAATTAACCATCTCTCCTGCTGACAATAACAATAAAGATACCATAAAAGTTTGTTTGAAGATCAACACATAGTGTATTTGTTTAGATAAACATATAGCATCAGATGCAAAATTATCTGATAATCACTTTCCCAAATAACTCTCTTTATCCACATTTGAGCCTCCAAGTTTGAACACCTAGCATCCATATGAGCATTAGCAAATTTAAATATAACAGTGATGACACTTCACTTAACAACAAAACTAGTGATAGCAAAAGATAACATTCAAAAATGAAGAACGAGAGGTACGCTTGCAGGTACGATTTTTTTTAAGTGCCCTTGGAGAAGCTTAGATTTTTTCAATAAAGGAGCAGAGACCTAAACAGAAACATTTTTAAATAAGCGTAAAACATCAACTGAAAGCCACACATCTTCTTCATCTATGAAAACAGGGTTTTACTTCATTGACCATGGACAATTATCAGCTACAGAACCATGTTTCCCTTCTCCTTTCACACCCCTCAGAAGAACAATAACCCTCAATTAATACCACAACAGTTTGGTTTGAAAAATGTGATGTTGTCATATACAGCATTGTGCATTCACTGAGTGACATTGCTACCAGCTACTCAACACAATATAATTACATCTGGAATCGAAAACCACTTCAATATGAACAAAAATATGTACACATGGGGAACTTCACACACAATAATCTGACACATAATGAGAAAGCAAAGAGAGAAAAAAGCTGGTGCAAGTTGCTCACCAACATGTTCCTTATTTCTGTTGAAGCTGGTACCTTTCTGTATTTCTCCTTAGTTGAAAGCAAAGTCCAATTAGTCTCCTCAAAACACATTAATTGGTTCTGAAGCTTCTCCAAGTTTTCATTTCACTGTGGAGCTCTCCTCACCTATCTTTCACAGACCATCTAAAATTCTTCCAACATCTTCCCTCATCCTCAAGATGGCTACCTTATCTAATGGAAAAGTAACATCTTCATGGTTGACTTTTATACATTTCTGAAGCATTTTAGGATTAGTTCTTTGAGTCAATTATATACATTCTCTAGAACTAGTCTGTGAGGAGCTCCAAATCAATGTGTGTGGACTGGGGTAGGACGGGGTCCTTTTTTCAAATCATTCTCACAAAATGTCTTCCTACAAGATTAATAAATTCTTTCAATTAAAAAGGTGAAGACACTTGGACATAAGATTTTTCTCAACTGACACAATTTGTTTCCATAGTGACACTGTTAAGTTAGACACACTGATATTCCTGAAGACTTACAGTATTGAGAAGACAAGGGGGAAAAAAATAGCAGGAGAGGGAAAAGGGGAAACAAAGGAGCTAAAAGAAGGCCTAACATACACATGGAAAAGCCTGAAGAAAAATGTAGAACCTGGAGAAACTGTTGTTAGCTAGTCTTAGAGTTCCTCTGAAATCTTGCAGGAATATTTTTCTTTCTTTTCTAGAATTTTTTTTTTTTTTTCAGAAATCATACCCAACCAGACAATAAAGTCTTGCAAGGCCTCAAACGATGATCACCAAGCCCCAGAACTCAAAAAAAAAAAAAAAAAAAATCTCAGCTTTGGACCACCACCATCTGCACAATGAGGAAATAACATTTTCTGGTGACTTTCAGGAGACCAGGAGCAGCTTTAAATTGTGAGAAGACCTCGGTGGAAATGTTTAAGGTTTTGCCTTGCTTGTCCTAAGGAGGTCAAAGCCCTTCTGGTCCACTCAAAAGGAGAAAAAAAAAATTCCAAAAGTTTACTTTAAAACGGAAACAAACGTCTCAATAACTTGTGAAAGCACTCCTTGGGTGGGAGAGAAATCTGAGGAACCCCCAGGAGCCCTTCTTTCCTTGCATAATGAATAGAGTGAGGAACCACCACCAGGTCTCCCTCTGGAGAGGGAGAAAGAGTAGGCAAGCAAGCCTCCTCCTCCAGCCATCACCAACTGAGCTTCAAAATGGAGACATCCATAATTTTATAAACACTTCTCATCTCAGCTTTGTCTCCTGGAAACCCGCTCTCCTCCATTTTCTGGTGGAGTTACAAGACACGGCTTACCTGACTCAGTTCCCAGCTCTCCACCAAACTAGTCACTTCCTCCAAAACCCTGCCAGCAACCTCCAGAAACAAAACCAAAGCAAGCCCAACAGCCAACACAGACTCTCAGACACAGCCCCGGGGGACCTAGGAGAAAGCCCCAACTGGTTGGTCTTTCCCCATCCCAGTCGCGTGCTTAAAAATGAAACTTTTTTTTTTGGTTGGGGTGGAATATAAAAGGAACTCTCAGGCAACCTCCCTCCTTCCTCTGTAGGTTAGAAGCTACAATGAAAAGAAAATGAGGGTTCCTTCAGGAATGGTGAACAGCCTGGAGAATGAACGTGAGAAGGAGCTTTGTGTTTTGGAGTCTGGACTGGAACCAAAGCAGACAGCTTGCAAATGGAGGACAGGGAGATAAAGAAAGGGAAAGAGAGGGGCTGCTCCGATGGGGGGGCGGCTGCGGCTTCCCCTCGTGCCTGGGAGGGGGGCAGACCCCTGGGAACCGCACCAGGAGTGAGTCGCCCCCTCTGGCCCCTGCCTTCCTTTCTCTCTGCCTCAGAGGAGAGCCAAGCGTGTGTAATGGCTTCTCCTCTCCAGAAACCGTTGTCCTCCTCCACCAGACGCTTCTGAACCTCCAGGCTGGAGACAGCTCCTCAGCTGCTCCTCAACCTGCGCCGCCCCCCAGCCGCCCTGCTCCTCGCCTCTCTCCTCGCCCACAGCGGGCGACAGCGGCCACCCCCCACACATCCCGACCCCGCATCCCAACTTCGGAGAGAGAGGAGAGAGAGGAGAGAGAGGGGGAGCGCCGGCCAAATACCTGAGGAGGAGAGGGGTGCCAATCCGCACGGCTTTGCCATCGGGCGGGGGACAGGCAGACAGAGGGGAAAGGAAGGAGAGGGGCAGAGAGAAGAAAGAGGTCACCCCGCTCGGGTCGGGGCGCTCGCCCTGAGTGCTCGCTCCCCTGACCCCCGCGCGCCCGCCCGATCGCTCGCCCTGGCGGGGGCTCAGGTCCCCGGCCTCCTGCCCTCCGCCCCCCTCTGCTCTACTCCTGTCCCCACGCTCGGAGCATCCGTCCTGAGCCTCCAGCCCTCTTCTCACTCATCTTTCATTTTCTCTTCTCTGCACAGAACTACACGAAATTAATTAAGCCACAGCGCTCGCCCGCCCCCCCCCGCAGAAGGAGCAGCCAGCAGGAAAAGCACAGCCACCTCCACCAGCACCTTCTCCTCCTCTTCCTCCTCCTCTTCCTCCCGCGCCTCTCCTCCTCCTCTTCCTCCTCCCCCTCCCGCTCTCCCTCCTCCCCCTCCTCCTCCCTCTCCTCCTCTCTCTCGCTTCTTCTCCTCTTCCCACAGCCAGTCCATGCACGCAGGGGACTCCCTGTGCTCCCCGCTCCGCCAGCCCTGCTCGGCCGAATGAATGAGCGCGTCGGAGCCTCCGCCGCCCCGCGCTCCCCTCCTCGGCGCACTCAGACCACCCGGAGGTGGTGGTTAATTGCAGTAACTTACAGAAGAAGCGTCCCGGCGCCGGGAGGTGCTTCGGGTTCTCCAGCCCCACCGCCTCCTTAGCCTCTTTCTCTTTCTCCTCTTCCTGCTTGGGTTATTGTTGTGGAAGTTGTTTGGGAGTCTCATGTGCTTCTGCCGGGTCTCAGCAATGGAGGATCGCCATCTTCCCTGCCTTCCTCGGCTCCTCAGACTCGCTGCAGCGGCAGATGACCTGAGATATCCGTCTCTCTCCCTCTCCCACTCTCCCTCCCTCCCTCTCCCTCTCACTCTCTCCCCTCTCTCCGCTCTTCTCTCTCCTCTCCTCCCTCTCCCTCGCGCGCTCTCTCTCTCCCTCCCTCTGTGTCTCTCTCTGAATAATGAGCAACCAGAGGGAGAGAGAAAGCAAGACAGAAAGAGAGAAGGAAGACAATCTTCTCCTGCCACACAAAACGCCGGAGCACCAGGGGGTGCGCGAAGCCTTTCTAATAACAACAACAACGTGCAGGAGAGAGGAAGGGGGAAAAAGAAAGAAAGAGATGGGGAAAGGGCTGGAGAGGGGGAACGGGGCTGAATTGTCCAAGAGCTGGAGAAGCGCAGAAGGAGAAGCTGGAGGAGATGCTGAGGCTCTGCTGCCGTCGCCCCCCCCCCTCCGCTGAACCCCAGAAGGAGGCAAGGTGGTTGCAAAGTTAAGGCTGGGACATTGTCTTTGTCACTCAGAGTAACACAGAGCCAGGCCAGTGAGATGCAAGAGGAGGAGGTGGCGGCGGCGGAGGAGGAGGTGGTGGAGGAGGAGGAGAAGGAGGCAAAGGAGGAGGAGAAGGGGAAGAGGGAGATGAGATGAATAAAGACCTGCGGAGAAGGCGGTGCGAGGAGCGCGGCCGCCGGGGCCAAGGCGTGCGCGCTCGCGTCCCGGAGGCGCCCGGCCGCCCTGGCCGGCAGAGGAAGCCCCCAGTGTGGACCCTGCCCGGCTGCACATAGCGCTCCCACCATCAGCCCTGTCCGAGGCGCCCAGCCCCGGCCCCACAGGGTCCCTCACACGCATCCATCTAGAGGCCAATCTTTGCAAAGAGCAGACGCGGGGAACTGGAGGTTGCAAGTCTAAACCCAAAGCAACCACGTGGGGCTTTTTAATTCCTTTCCAGCTTGCGGTGTGAGTATCTCCAGTGGAAAGCTCGAGTTGTCCATTACTGGCACGAATTTTGAGGTCGTCTCCCCCGAAATAAAGGCTCATTGTGCGTTTTATTTCTTTCTGATATAGGAAAGGGGGGGATGGACGGGGGACGGAAACAGCCCATCATTTCGAGTCTCGGAATCACCACTTTCTTTTCCTAACTTGTGAAATGTTTTGACGGCGCACCAGAAGGGGTGGGGGCTACTTAAATAACTTTACACCCTCCAGCCCCGTGTTGTTTGCGCTTTCTAGCTGAGCATCTATCAAGGCTTAGAAAGTAACAATCAGTGCTCCTAATGATAAGATGTCACGCTGAAGACGAGAGAGCCAAGATGAAGCTTTCACACCTCGAATTTTTATTTAATTTTCCCCCAGATCGTCTGAACTATCTCTTTGCAAAAGAGTGGGTTTCCATCGCCTCTTACCAGGTCGAACGTCTCCTAAGGCTTTAATTTGAGGCGGGGGGGAGGGGTTTAGGGAGACTACAGTATCAAAAAAATCAATGCAGCAAGTCAGGAGCAATTGAAGTTCAAGGGCATGGGCTGGCGGTACCATTTCTATTTCTCAGATCCTTGAGTTGGACATCAACAGCCCCGGGAGAGAGAAACACGCAGCGCGCGGGGCAGAGACCTTAATTAAAGTTTCTTTTGTCCGCGTCTGAATTGGGGGATGTTGCTGGATTCCTTTGCATTGAGGAGCGCGCATCCGGTGAAGGCGCGGTGTTGAGGATCCTGGGCGAGACCGTTCTCTCCAACGCGCGCCCCCTCCCTTCCCCCCCAACAGTCGGAGTATGGGCAGATACACCCGTAAACCGTACAATAAAGGAGGAAGAGGAGGCGCGCGCAGAGTTGGTTCCCATCGGATAGCAAGGCACCCTAAACAGGTCTAAACCCTCATTTTCTATGATTTCCCCCCCCCCCGATTGTATATTCCCGGGCAGAATCTCGCACCCTGAGGCAAGATTTCACCCCCTTCCAGTCAACACTTCCTGCCCTTTTCTCCTCCCACTCACACTGAAAAGCTCGGGAGCCCTAAAAGGGTGTTGATGGCGGGGGTGATAAATAAATAAATAAGTAAATGACACTACGCGTGCGGGGGAGGAAGAGGGGGAGGGAGGGGGGAGAGAAAAAGTAGGGAGCGGGGGACCAGGAGGCGAAAGGACACGAGCGAAAGGGAAACGCGAGTCAAAGAAAGAGCCAAGAGAAAGAAGAAAAGACAGGAAGACGGTGCGCTGCTCCGCACAGGAAAGACCCTGGCTTTGTGCAGAGCGGAGAGGATTCCCCTTCCAGGTGCCCCCGGGGACCTGGGAAGTTCTTCTGGCCCGAGCTCCTCCCCGCCGGGACCCCAGGGGCGTCTGAGCGCTGGCCGCCGCTCCCCATAAATTCCTCGTGGCGACCGGAGGAAGCGCGCCAGGTCTCCGCCGTCCCCTCCGTGTCCCGGCTGATAATTTACCTCTTTGTCTTTAATAAAAAGCTGACTTTTCTTGTCAAGCTCTGCACCGGGGAAAATAACAACCGTATTTCAGGTTGAAAGCTCCTATTACTGCCGGGTTTTCGGAGGCTGCGATAAAATCTTCATCGACGTGAAGGTACCTTCGGGGTTGGCTTGGGTCGGAAGTGCTAAGATAGGGGCCGCCCTTCCCCCGGGGCGCAGGGAGCCGGGCGGTGGGGCGGGGGCGAGAGGCGACGAGGTCGGGGGAAACCTGGAGTTTCCAGGCTCCGGGGGCATCGAGGGCTTTCCGCAGTCGGGGAATGAGCCCTGGGGAGGAGCCTTTCTCGGGAACGCGAGCGCGCCCCAGCACGCCTCCGACCTCGTAAACCCACTTGGCAAAGACCGGGGAAGCCGCTGGCGAATCGACTGCGGTGAACTCAAGAAATTAACCTGCGCTACAATTAAACGGGCTGCCGCCCTTTCAGACTCACCTCGAGCGACCGAGATAGAGAGAGCTCCCGAACCGGCCGCGGGAGGACCTGGCTCCACCCTCCCGTCCCAGAAGAAGAGGACAAAAAGGGGAGATGGACTTGGAGATGGCCCCGCCCTTCAAACGCTCCAATCCTTGGAAACCAGACCTCCTCTCCAAGCTTCCACGTCTAGAAGGGACAAAGACAGCGAGGAGCTCCTGAGACTGATGTGGAGATGGTGGCTTTCCGGGGCTTCTGATGTGGGTCCTTGGGGAAAAGGTACAATCCATTCCAAGCAGGGCTCCACGGGATGATCTTAGAAGACAAGTCGGTCTTCTGCTTTAGAAGCAAACTGACTGCCCAAAACTGTGAAGCAAAGTGTTGCAAAACTCCCCCAGAGCCCTGCTTTTTGAACGTGGCCAGGCTAAAATTTCAATGGATGTCACACACATTGTGGTAGACTTTTTAAAAGTCTCCAACTAAAATCATTGAAAGCAATTAAGCATAAAGGGAGTAAATGTTTGGTTGCTGGCTTTTATTTGGGGCAGTTGTTCAAATGATAGGAAAGCCATTGGAAAAATGTGAGGTAGGACAGGGAGAGAAACCTCTGTGACTGAAGGTTTTAGTGAAAACCTTAATAAACTTGGCACTTAAGTAACCGTAATTACACTTTGCCATTAGCAGGCCATTTAGATAAGCAAGAGAAAGTTCACACCTCCTGCTAGTTCATTCCCAAAGAATATTCACAAAGATAAGGCAAGCCTCGCTGGCAGGTTATCTTCTCCATCAGGAAGGTTAATATTTAAATTTTTTTCATTAAAATGGAAAAGCTTTGAGTTTTATGTACAGCCAACACTGTGAAGTAATTCTCATAGAAACATGTTGACTCCTTGATATTTACCTTCTGTTCCCTACCTATGTTATTATCCCCCAGAGTCAGATGGAATTTCAAGGCTTTATTAATGTTCTAGGGAATAAGAATATGTTGAAAGTCTGGACTTTCTTTTCCCTTATCATGGGTGACTGGCATACAGACTCTTCATAAAGAGAAATTATGGCTCATCAAAAGAGTGACTTTATGAGCATTAATAGAATAATAAATCTTGAATTTCAGTTCAAGAAATAGTGAAGTCCTATAAGCAGAGTGACCCATGCAGATATGATCCACTTACTTGCCTAAAACTAGCAGGAGAGGGATAATCTATAAATCACTTTGGTTATTATAGCCTCAAGGAAGAAAGGCACCCAGATTCGTAAAGAAAAAGTGTTTATGAAGGTTTCTACTAAACCTGCAGCAAGGACTCATGGGGAAAAAAATGAAGAGTTGATAAAGACTCCATTTGAAAGATTTTCAACTGAAACAGAAATGCATAGATGTTCTGATGGCATAATATAAATATTTATGGTCTATAGTATAAAAAAGGAAAATTCCCTCTGCTTCCTGAAAACTATACCTCTCCCCCCAAAAAGGTCTAGTTGATAGCTCCACTTCCTAAATTCAAGCTGGAACACTATTCAAACTGATGATTTTAGCAAAAGCAAAGACTAGGTGAATACAGATTGTGACTTTTTGAGAAGGCTTAATTATCCACCTTTAAACATTTAACCATAGTGTCACACGCCTCTTAACTTGCTGGAACTTCTCTGCCTATGGAAAACTTTCTATGCAATTCAACATAGTGCTTTTCCTATTTAAGTTTGTGATTGTTAGAATGGGCGCATTCAGGGTGGTATGGTTACAGACGTTATTTTCAACAGGTTATGTATGTTGAATTCTTAATACCTTTACTCTTACTGAAAATACTGTGTTTGAAAAGGTTTTCTGAAAATTTCAAATCAGATAATTATGGAACCCCCTCCAAATTTAAGGTAGTAAAATCACTAGCACACCTTTTTCCTGATCTCCTATAGAAAATTCAATAGATTTTCATAACCCATATTTAAACATATGTATCTGGTTCACTAATGTCCATGCTTAGGGAGAAGGAACTAAAAGAAAAGCTGTTCCTATTCTTGAACAGCTCTCAAAGGAAGAAAAATTATAATAAATGTATTCTGTTATGAATATTTGTCTTTTTTGAGACAGGGTCCCACTATGCAATTCAGGCTGGCCTTGAGCTCACTATGTAGCCCAGGCTGGCCTAGAACGTGCAATGATCCTCCTTCCTCAGCCTCCCGAGTGCTGGGATTACAGGCATGTGCCACCACGCCCGGCTTCTGTTATGAATATTTGTATCTATACCTTTGGATACCAGAGAAAATGTTTCGATAATAATATTCTAAATTTCAAAAAGAAGTCTCATTCCCATAGATAAAAGTTAAACTTCTGATTCTATCAAGTTGGTTACTATAACATGAAACATGCAATATTCAACCATTGAGTATTCCATCAGCATTTATTAAATGCTACCATCTGAGCTGAACACAAAGAATACAAAGATGAATGAAGGAAGATGAGTCAAAACTTTGATGCATGATCTACTTCATGAACTAGTTTCAAAATCACATTTCTTGGTTATAGAACTTTAATTTTTTTTTTGTCTTTTTGATTTAGGCTTTCACTATCCAGTTCAGGCTGGCCTTGAATTCACTTTATAGCTCAGTCTGGCCTGGAACTCACAGTGATCCTCCTGCATCAGCCTCCTGAGTGCTGAGATTACAGGCAAGCACCCCCATGCCCCGCTCAGAACTTTAGTTTTTGTCTTACTCAGAAGCAATATAGGAATTTGGCCAATGAGGAGAATTTGATTAATTTGAGTACTTTTGTCCCTACCAGCAGTTATTCAGGAGAAATATTTTGTTAAAATAAATTGTTATAGTTCATATTTTGCCTTAACTCATAATTTAACATGAATTTCTTACTCAAAATGACCTTTTTAAAGTATAGGCTAGTGATATAACTGAGCCATGGAGCACTTTCGTAGCATGTTCAAATATGTGTGTCCTTTGTCAGGCATGGAAAACAAAATTTCTTAAAAAAAAACCAGCAACTTTATTTATTTATTTGTTTATTTTGTCTTTTTGAGACAGGGTCTCGATATGCAGCTCAGGCAGGACTTGAGCTCACTCTGTAGCCCAGGCTGGTCTCAAACTCGCAACGATCCTCCTGCCTCAGCCTCCCGAGTGCTGGGATTACAGGCGTGCACCACCACACCCGGCAAAACCAGCAACTTTAGATGGACTATGGTTCAATTAATCAAAATTCTGAAGACTCAGTTGAGTGAGGGCTCATTTCTAGAGGCACCCCTTCCAGCAGAAAGACCTGTATTTCCAGATTCTTACTACTCAAACTGATGTTCAGAGAGGGGTGTGACTTGGTTAGAACACAGAGCGTCAGAGGCTGTCAACTCTAGAATCTGCATCTCTATGGCACTTTCTCCAAAGTCTTCATTCTCAGCCATCTTTAAGACTTCGAAATTCATGCTGGGAGATGTGGCTCAGTGGTAGAGCTGTTGATGTGGATGCAGTAGGCCTTGTGTTTGATTCCTGGCACCAAAAAAATGAAATCTTA